CAGTGATGCTGGGCTTCTACCTGCGGATGAACAGTCTCACCACTTCCTATTAGATCTTATTCTACTGCTATTCTTGCCAGAAGTCGATCAACAATGATCTCCACAAGCAGGTACAAAAAATCTCTTCTGGAAGCCCGCCTGCATCACCTCTCACCAGCTGTCGCGGCGTATAAAGCACATACGCACATGTTCTTCACAAACTAGTCACAGATCCAGATCTACCTTCAATACTTATCCATCTCTGTATGTACTCGAACCGCACTCCTGTCCGTGTTCGATATCACGAATGTCCGACTTGACTGTCCGACACGTTCGACTGTTCTTTTTCCTATTTAGATCCCATTTCACCAACACACTCCTGTCGTTTTGACGACTCCAGTTGCGATAACGAACCCTTTCTTCATTCAATATGTAACGTGTGTATATATAACCAACAACGGTCATATCTAATCTTCCTGATCCCCTTGGATCAATGCTCGAAACTTGCGGAACTTTTCCCCTTGCAAAGGTTTTGTCATATAATCCCCCCACATGTCATTGGTTGGCATGTGTTTGATCGTAAGATTTCCTTTCTCAACCTGATCAGTGACAAAGAAATAACGGATGTTCAATGCGCGGCTTCTCTTTCCTGCACTTGATCTCCCGTTCTTTTCGAGGAGAATAGAGCTCATATTGTCTTGATACAAGATATTCTTCTCAATTGGATAACCCTGTTCTTCCATGAACATGCGTGTCCACAACACTTGTGTGATCGCATCATCTACTCTGATTAGTTCCGCATGTGTACTGCTGCGGCTGTTTAGCTTCTGTTTCTTGGACATAGCCGCATAGCTCCACCACCCATGGTCATTACTCCTCCTGTGTGACTCTTGAAGTCAGGGTGAACCGCAAAAGACGCATCAACATACCACTTCATTACACGAAGGTTGTCAGTGCTCAGCGTGAGATGCCATTTCTTGGTAGAGTGCATGTATCTCATAAGTCTCACAAGTTTATGCCAATCACTCTGATTTGGATTTTGAACTTGTGATGCCAAAATTGCCACCGTCGGATGCATATCCAGACGCGCATGTTTGGTCAAAAACAAATGGTTTGCAACAAACCTGTGAAACTCGGTCTGTTGATCTTTATCCAATAGTTTTCCTTTTCCTACCTCCAGTAAATCATTGCCAGCAGGTGTTTCCTGTTTGTCATCCTCTTTAAACTTGACAGAAAACTCGTCGAGCATTCTTTGGACACAATTGTCCATTCGAATCTTCAACTTTCCTTTCTTTGAATAATCCAATGTCATTCCCAGATAGGTGTGAACTCGTCCCCCTGTGCAAGTCACTTCCTTTAGTCCTCTGTATCTCTCATTTATCCATGTAAAGAAATCCTCGAGAACTCTTTGTTCCATGTGGCTCGCTAGCACATCATCAACATGAAACCTGATAGTCAGTTGCTTTTTGTTGACCATCATATTCGCAATGCACGGATCGTATACATTAAACACAAATCCGTATTCTTCCAGCAATGCCCTCAGATTTTGGTACCATAGCAACGAAGCCTGTAACATCCCATAAATAGCACGGAGGATCACACTCACTCAACGTCCATTTTCGATTACTACAAAATCCCGATACGTCGGATCTAGGTCAATCATGTAGTCAACCAGCAGTCCAGTAATTTTCATTATTACTCGATCGTCTCCTTCTTCCTGCTCGGGCATCAATGTTTGGATAAACGCGTTAGGTATATCCATTGACATGACGTTTCTACCTTCATGGGCATCAATTACACCCGTGCAGATAATAGCTTCATGCGAAGCTGTGG